CCCCAGTTCTGTAAGCATTAATAAATAAATATTAAAAAGAAATATGAAGTTTGCAAATTACGAGGAGGGAACTGGAGGGGGCTGTGCTATATCAACTAAGTCAGGAGAAAGATAAATACTAAATGGTATTCCACTAATATGTGATTGTATATATAGAGAGGGGAGCAAAACAAAACTCAGACACAGACAAACCAGTAACAAAGCCCTGAAATCAGATTGTGGAAATGAGGCTCCACGACAGGACAGCAGAGAGGGGAACATAATGGGGAGGTGACACAATGGACTATACTGGTGGTGGGTGTGGTGTGGTGACACTCATCTGAGTGTTGATCCTATGCCTCTGATTCACATACGATAACCAGCGTTAGCTCAACTCAAACCAAAAGTATGTGCACTGGTTCACAGCTTGCACAATCCATGCTGGCGGCTACAGGACCCATCTTCCCCTTCTTTCAGACTGAATTTATACAACATCTGTGTTGGCATATGTTCTGTATTTATAATCACCACATGTAAGGATATGCTAAAACTACTGAATTTGTGCTCAGACTGGTCTAAATACTGCCCTAGGGCCTTTTAACAATTCATTTATCAATCACACACCTCATGAAAAATTCCCAAAACTCATCATAAATTCCAATGTTATATGTTTTATTTTTAATCAAGTAATATTTTTAAACCTCAAAATATCCATAAATGACAGAATAAGATATTAGGCATGAAATGAAATATAAAATTCAGTCTGCAGAAAAGCAAACAGTATTGTAGTCCATCCAGATGACTGTACATGAGTAAAATGACATTCCAAACATCTACTTCTTTTGTATCTTTTAAAAACATACAGTTCACGTGTTTAAATTTCACTTGTAAACAACATGAGTCAAAATGGACAATGAGGTAATCTAAATACTACACAGGATAATTTAAAAACGCTAGGTAAACACCATATTAAAGACATAGAAATCAATGTTCACTTTGGTCTCTAGTATGGTTACAGCTGATAATACCAAAAAGCAAAAGATTAATAAGTAAAGCCAGCTTGGTGGTGGGTGTCAGTGGTTAACAGATGTGAGTGATTCAAGAGGTAGTCAACACCATCATGTTCAAGCCGGTAACTCCGAAGTGTTAAGCCGCAGATGTATTAAATAGCATAAGCTTCTCACAGTACAGTACAGTACAGTACTTTACCCTAACTTTGCAGTTTTGTTCCAAATATAAAATTGAAAAGTGAGTCCCAGGTCAAGCTCTGTAACTGAACAACTAAGACACAGATCACACAACCACCACATCTTAAAGAGGATGTTGACTCCTATGTTAAGACAGAGTGGGATGTTTTTATCAAGTTGTTCCTCCTAAAACACATAAATCTCATTAAGACATCTAGAAAGTTAAAATCAGTGCAGCTGCACTTGCACATACTTTCCCAAATTTTATAACCAAAGGGGAAATACACACATATATTTTATGATAAACATTTCTTAAGCGAACACAGATAAATTAATTTAAATTAACTTTAAGACTTAATGAGATTTCCCATGTCCTGTATAATTCATCTTACAGTGAATGTTACAAAGTCTATTAACACTTATGGGCTTCTATTCACAAACTAAATACAGCTGGCAGTAACTTGGGGCCACACGGGTGCAAAACGAAACTGGGCCAGGATGTAAAAAAAATATATATGTTGGCAATAAAAACACCTTATATTTGCAGATGGACAGATACTAATAACATGCCTTCGTGATCTTTTCCCCCTACATTGCACGCCGATCTTCCCAGTTATAAGCAGGTAAAAATCTTCCTAAATTTTTTCACTTGTAAAAATAAATCCAAAGTATTCTAGTATAGGCTGGAAATGCAAGTATAAAACTGTTTCTACTATAATCTGCCCTGTAGCAAAGAAGAGCTCACAGGGCTGAGACCAGGAGTGCATCTTTCTTAGGAATTACGCTTGTGTTGACATGGGATGAGGTCAAGGGGCACCTAATTCAGACCTCCTGCCCAACCCATTAGTAACCCCTGTAAACTGATGCTTCACACAGGCCCTTCCCCTCAGTAGCTAGAAATGGCATTGCACGTCCGCTCAGTGTTTACTCCTTGGCCAGCCAGTGCTAGTGAATTATGTACCTAGGACAACAGGCTGCAATATGCTTGGCTTTGGGGCAGCACACACACAATGGAGATTGGCATTTTTTGCCCAGCATGAAAGTACTTATACACCAACCTCTCTTCCTGCTGCCCCTTCCTACCCCCAAACTCTGGGCAAAGCAGCGATTTCCAAGATTGCTCTTTTGGAAGAATGCCCACAAGTCTTTAAATACATGATAACTTTAAGGAAATGCTTGGAGACTCTGCTAACTAAATGAGATGCTTCATTATTAAAAAGTATCTGTCAGAAACATGCAGTTGTGAATTGCGATCTACAATCTAGATAAAGAGGTTCTGTACCAGAGAATTATCAGCCACTGTAAGGCTGAAGCAGCAGTAAGGTGTGCTATGCATCAACTATGAGGTAGCCTTTTGTTGTAAACAGAGTATTATTTCATCCATGTAAATGGACACTGTGCTCACATCAGTGATATTCACATATGCAAGGAGTTCAGGAATTCTGCTTTAAGAGTACTGTTCACATGAAATAAAAATAGGAGAACTGATACTTGATATCTGGAGATTTTGATCTATGTTAACTCAGAGGTAGTTACTAATATCAGCACATAATACTTATAAAGGTCTAAGTTATTTGGTTTGATTTAAGTAAGCAAGACTGTAGACTATTCTGTAAAGAAACAACATTATATGATATGTTCCCTGAGCAAAGTTTTTTGTCCTGAGTATGTTATGTAATAGTGATACTATTCTTATATAAAAAATAAACCCCAACTTTTAATCATAAGATAGATTTGGTATGTGCTTAGTTCAGTCTGGCAAGATGCTTACAATGATTCTAACTGCACCCATAAGGTCCACAGTAATAAAATGTTTGTTTTTTATCAAAACCATGATCTCAGCTTTAAACTTTTTATATGTAAACAGGGAATGTCCAATTCACAAGTCCATAATTTTCCATTTCTAGAAAGTCAAGGAACTTTGGTTTGAATATTCAAAGTGACTTATCACGTCTTGCATTTTTACTGTTAACCTGCTTATCATACCTGCTAAAAAATTAAGCAATGCCACTTTGATTTGTCTACATAATTTAAATAAGCTTACAATCCTCACGTAAGGCAAGGAAGTACTTCTCTACAGCTATTTCACATTCAATATCGTCAAAGGTAAGCTTTGCATTACAGTACACTGCCATTTCAGTGTACACCATGGAGATTCTCACCAACACTGTCAGTAAATTTAAGCTGAGTTGTAAAGGATGGTGGCCCAGCCCAGGCATTTTCTCCTGCAGGGTGACTTGCTGAGACTGCAGTCACTGAGTCTCCGAGGGCAGAGCAAGTGGGGGAGGGAGCAGAAATTTAAGTTCAGCAGGGTATGTCTCATTCATGTTATGCTATTCTCTTTCTGGTTTGATTATCTGAGCTTATGCCAACACTCTCACACAAAACTGCATGCATTGCCGATGTCAAGCTTTATAATTAATCAGTATCTTTTAGATGTTTCAGAAATTTACTCAAAACCTCTGGAACCATGATGACATCAATGTGAATTTGTTTTTTATGACTGAAACTTAAAGAGACCGACACTAGGGTTGGTCTAGCCAGTTTATTCACTGAGAATCTCTATCCCCATCACTAAAGGTTTATCCTGAATCCACCACATAGGTTACTTCAAGCATGAGGATTGCAGTAACTTTAAATAACCAATTTTAATGCCTAAAATACTTCCAGCTCTCTGGCAGGGGAGGTTTGGCGCCTCCGCCCCAGGTTACCTGACACCAATCACTGCTCTGTTTAATATGATTCTAGGTCTTATAAGAGCTGGGCAATTGTGAGCATCCAACTAACTTTCATTCTCAACTGAAATATTTATTCATATCTGGGCTGTTTTGCTTGTTTTAGAAATGAGCTAGACAACTCGCCAGGGGGTGAAAACAGCCACCAAAAATGTGTACCAAACGACTGGAATTTTCCTCCAAGGTCTTTCAGTAGTAAAAAATGCGGGCCCCCTGCTCAAAGCCAATGGTCAGAAAGACTGACTTAGTCAAGAGAATCTGCTGTTGCCACAACCCCTTAAAAACCTCACGATATGTCAAAGATTTTAATGAGCTGGGATCAAAATACCACTGAAGATAATCAAGTCATGACATTTATACATTGCCCTCCCCTTCATTTCTCTTAATAGGCATCTAATTTACAATCAAAACATATGAATTCAAAACATCAAGATGTCGGCACAGAGATAACACATTCATTGTCTTTTCTGGAGTTATGTATCTCAGATTAAAAAAAGCTTATGGCAGTCAGAGTTAAGGTACTGCGTTCAAAGAGGGGTAGCAGGAGTAGGGGATATGCTTTACAGATATCAAGAAAAACAGACAATCCCAAACTCAGGAGAACTGATGACTCTAAACCTTTAGTACCATATGATTGGCAGCTCTGAGATCTGCTGTGTCCTTTGGTTCACACAAAAGGTTAACAGTCATGTTTTATTTTTCTGTAATATAGTGAGTGGCATTTCAAGAAAAACTCCAGTGGTACGTTCAAAATCATCTAAAATGCTTCTATGGGTTTTCAATACTTGAGGATGTCCAATTCTCTGAGGGAGAGTGTGTGCTTGTATCTATATACACACATATATAAAGACAAATCCTCTTTATATATATGTCTACACTCCTATATAAAATTCTCCTACACACACACACACACACTCACACACACAATCCCTCTCACACATGCACATATAGATATACATAGCATCTCATTCACTGAATAACATAAAACATGACACCCTGCTCGAATGTGTTTTGCTTAGAGTGATTTGTCTGTTTAAAAAACATTCACAGTTCTTCAACAGTAGTTAAAATGTCAGGTCCGCTGCTGTTTGTGAAATACTGTTCCCCTGTACTTGCATGAGGTAGACTTCCCAACTCGGGAAAGACAATACATTACGAAGCGTTATTATGTCTTTTTCCTTTTTTGAACGGAAGGCCCCTTTTTGTTTTGTTCTTCTGGCGCTGCGGCTGACTTCGCCGAGGAAGCTTCTAGGGACGACCTGCCCTGCCACTCTGAGCCCTCGGACCTCGCCTCCTGAGGAAACAGCGGCGGAGACGGGCAACCGCGCCCTGCCCCCGCCTCTCTCGGGAACGCGGACGTGCACGGCTGAAGCTCCGCTTCCGGTCTTCCCTGAGAACTGGCGGGCGGCTGCGCGACAGTCTTGTGCGGGCAGTTGGCCACCATGTGCGTGATGCTTTGACAGTAATGGCACTTCTTTGGCTGAGGAGGTAGACTACATTCCTTAGCATGATGATCAAGGCCACCGCAGTTGTAGCATCTACAACAGGAGTAATGAAAACGTCTTAGAAGTAGGGAGCATGGATCACAAAATAAATGTGATAAAACTACACAAACGGTCAGTGAGAACAGCTATTTAATGTGCCTTCTCAGCAAGTCCGACTAACTGGTAACATCGGTTGCTTTTAAGACTGTCATCACCAAGATGGCCTAGCAGAGTTACAAAACTTGTTGTGGGAACGCAATGATCAACAGAAACAAGAGAACGAAAACATGAAAGAACAGTTGATGACTTCCACATAGAATTGACTTCTTTATATTGGACAGCTAGGGTAACGAAAAAAGCCCACTAGAGGGCAGCCAATATTTATTTAACAAAAGCAGCCAGCTAGCTTTATAAAGGCAGTCTTTGAAACAATACAGCTGTTGACAAAACATGGCACTGAGTGATGAAGCGCTCAGCAACTGGGAAAATTACAGGCTGAATGAAAATTTATGAGGTTAACATTTCTTTGGGTGTTGCTTATTCTGACTGTGGAAACCACTTTAACGAGAAGAATTTTTTTTCTTTTCGCAAATTAAGGAGTGCCATGAAATTTAACATGAGTCAAAGTCTATATTGGATGCTATCTGGCAAATTACCAAATAACTTCAGAGCAGTATAGGATGTGAATCAGAAGACTGCATATAAGAAATTTTCAAAAACTTAGATTGATTTAATCAAGTTTAATGCTAGTTCAATCGTTGGAAAATTTTATTATTTTTCCTTTCTCTAAGACATAAGCTGTCTTTTAAGCTAATTCTTCTAAACTGAAATAAACATTTTTCTTAACATCTGAACACACTTGGGGAGCACAGCTTGTTACTAGATGTTTAAAAATCTGACACACCTCTTAAAAATCTGACTTAGCAAGTAAGCTATTTGGAAGATACATATTCGAAGATACATTCTATCAGATTTCTTCTCAAAATTTTATATTAAAAACAAAACATCAGAAAGCAGACTAAACAAATTTATACATGCAAAGGTTTTTAATTTACTTGTAGAGTACAGTATTTGCTTAACTGGTTTGTCGCCAAGTGAAATGTTTTAAGAGCTTTCAATTTTAAATTTGTTTTTGAATACATGTAAGACTCCATAATTATTCTTATGAGGCACAAACAGTAAGTTTCATATTCTAAAACAAATGACAGCAAAATAAGTGGTAACTGTGAGAATTAGTTTAAGACCATAATGACAACAAAATAATTCATTATACTTAATGTTGCATATATATGAGAAAGTTAAATAACTTCTATTACCTTATACTTTAAAACAAACTATTAAGTTGCTACTAAACTACGGAACTACAAACCTAAACCTACTGAACAACAGATGTACGATATTTATTATTTTATCATATGGGAAAAAGTATAGTGTTTTTTCTGTAATTGGCAAAAAACTAGGGTAACTACAGCCTGCTTCTCCAGTTACCAATATTACCTTACAGACTTTAATAATGGATTCATGAGATGGGTATTTATTCTTTATAATAATCAGGAAGTATTTATTCCAGGAAAAATAACTGCATCATATTTTCAGGAATTAAAGGGGGAAAAAAATAAAAAAATTGCATTTTCTGAAAATCATTTGTTGTATAATTACACAAATGCAGATTCAACATGTGTTTCCATCACGTGTTCTAAATGATAACACAACATTAAAGAATAATAAAAATCACTAATGCTTGAAATTCAGGTCCCCCAAATAACACTTAAAAAAGGCATCTTTGAAAAATATGACCATATTACTTATAATAATGTTTTCCGACATAGTTCTCTTCTATAATGGGTAAGTGAATTCTTAAATTAAAACTGCTCATTTATAAGATGTCTTCTTTTGAATTAAATTCACTGTCTTGAGATAACATCCATTCAGAAGCTCATTTTTGAAGAGAGAGAAAAATAGGTTAAAGGCTTCGGTAATGGAGCAGGCTCTCCCGTGGACACATCAATTTCTTTACTCACTGTGATATGCACTGTGTTATCCAATTCAGGGAACCATTTGGCCCACTCATTTACCAGGGCCTGATATCAGGATTATACTTTTACAAATAGAGTCTTCCATCATATTCTGTATGTGTATTTATTTACCACTACATTTGGGTTTTAAAAGTTATTTTTAGGGATGGTATGTAATTTTAGTTTCCTTGCATTTTGATCTGCATAGCTAATTTACCCCATAGCTTTTCAGATATATACTATTATTAGGCCAGACTGCCTTCCACACTGAAAAAATTTGCATTCAGTGTATATGTGCTTTGGCCTTAAAAGGGGAGGAGCGGTACTTATTCTCCTTTTCTATTTAATCATTTAATGTCAATCATTCTTACTAAAGCGTGTAGATCACACCCCATTATGAAATCCTTTCCCTCTCAAGGGAATGACACCAAAATGGAAATGTTCAGCTACCTTTCAGCTCATAAATGATACCATACCACATATTCCATACAAGCTCACGTGGCATTAGTCTCCTTTGTTCACTCTCAACACTTCCCCAAACCAGCATGTTTTTGTTAGTTTGAATGAATTCTACATTGAAAAATTTACACAATTTTACATTGTGAGCATAAAAGTGGCAGGTGTGTCAAGGAGAGTTGCATGCTTAAGAAATATAAAGACAAAGATTCACAGGCAAAAGGCTACACACAAAGAAAACAATAATCATACTTCAGATATAGTCCCACAGCCTAATATAAAAATAAAATTATTCATGTTAAGTATTTTGAAAAATGATGACAGTTGAAAGATGGCACATCTGAAAAAAATAACACATTACTTATGTTTTCTATAATGAATAAATTCTTATATAAATTTTTTCATCTATAAAATAGCTCCCTTTAAAGTAAATTCACAATTAAATGGCACAGGATTCCCCCCCCCATAAAGACAGATAAAATAAATATATTAATTTATATTAATTTTATAACTTTATCAAGTTCTCATAAAATTACTTCACAAATATTTTATTTCTAACATGCTAGCACATTCTACAAGCATTTCTATTTAAGATGCTTTTCCCAAAAGAACACAAAAAACAAGCAAATTGGGGTCAATTTTTAAGATTATTACAATAAGATTTGAATTTTTAAATCAAAGAATGCCAATAGTGGAAACAAGAGATAAAATAATCTAAAAGGGCAAAATAAAACAAATCTTCTAGACTTAAATTTTTAGAACTATTTAAATATGTGATAAAAAATGTGAATTTTAATAAGCTAAGACCAAACACATAAGTTTGGGCTAATTACTTAGCTAATAGGTTAATCAAAATACAGCCAAGGTCCTCCCTGGTGGCGCAGCGGGTTAAAGCACTACACTAAGAAACTAAAGCCACTTCCGCATGAGTTCGATCCCCGTCTGCCCCGGAGGCGACCACATGGCGTTGCAGACCTCTCCTGACCCGCCCGCTGCTCCCCTCAGCAGTGTACTTCGTCGATCTGCCTGTTCTGCTCCCCGCTTTGTCTCTGGTGAATCCTCTCACCCTCCGCATCTCTGGCATGTACCCCAGTTCTGTACGAATAAATAAATAAAATCTTTAAAAAAAAAAATACAGCCAAAATTCAAAGAGCTCCATAATAAAAAATGGAAACTGATTGAGAAACAAGAATTCAGATCTCTGACAATTTTTAGAAAAATCTGATTTTTGGAGTCAGATACTTAAAAAAAAAAAGTATACTTTCAAGTGGCACTACCAATGATGGCTAGAACTGAGCTCAACTGAAAACAACTAGATTAGAATAGACTTTAATTTTCAAATGATACCTCAATGAATTAATGGAATAATTCCTCAGTAGTATTTTCCTGCCCAACCCCCAAAGAAAACTGGCAGGGAGTGATACTACAGAAAGCCAGATGTGCCTGTCCAAAATAGAATGAGAAAGATGTAACTTAGCTGCTTCTGAGCACTTAAAAGTATTTCTATGGATAATCAAGCCCATATTCTAGGGAGTCTGATGGGATAGAAAGGATTAGGATAGAGTGATCTGAAAAAAAAAAAAAAAAAATAACCAGTAGTATCGGGGTGGAGAGCAAAGTAGAAAAGGAAGCCCAATGTACTGGGCAGAAAAAAGAGCTGTGCATAGGAAAGAGACACATAAAATACCCTGGGAAAGAAAGTTGAGAGCAAGAATCAATAAAGTTTTAACTGGAAGGCCAGAAGGGCTAAGAAAAGTAATAAATTAGAAAGAATTTTAGAAATTAATTTGTAGAGACAATAACGGAATTATGAAGAGAATGTTTAGTGTTTTGTTAACCTGGACCCAGTCCAGCAGGAATGACATGAATGAAATCCATCAGCTCTACAGTCTGATTCTAATCTGAACACTTCTCATCTTATTTAACTGTGTGTGAACCAACCCAAGAAGTGGAAGTGTGGGCTCCCAGCCTCCTGGTAGGAAGGAGGTGGATGGGCAAAATTGGCCTCAGAAGACCCCAGAAGTTGCAGAAAAGGAAAGGAGCCAGAGCATAGCTTTGATGGAAGCAATCTGCCCAACTGGTACCTTCTGAAGGTAAGAGAGACAAATTCTGAGATGAACCACTGAAAGGTCCCATTTTGTATGGAGAATTTCTAAGCAATCTAAATTTACACCTGAGCATATAGTTTGTTACCTCCTGGGAATCTCCCCTAGAATTTCAAAAGGAGAGTTAGAAAACCATGATGAATCACAGAACTGGAAAGACTTCCTAAGGTGCACAGATTTTCTGAACTTTGTTAAAAAAGCCTGTACTTCATGTGAATTTCTTTTATTTCAGTCTTAGGTGCAAACTCCTGAGACTATAAGCCATTTTAACAACAAAACACTTTAATAAAATTAGCTTTTATATATTCTTTCTCAATACAGTAGTAAGAGTACTGACTTCTCAAAAGATAGTAATTTCTATTTCTAAAATATGGTTTCTTCTTGGTGCTTCAATTATAAGGATTTAATAGATACTGTATAATGGCAAAAGTCAATACACCAAGAGGAATAACAATTGTAAATTTTATGCACCCAATAC